TCAGACAGCTACCTTTTTTTATCTGCGTTCCCAGACGGTTAGAGTAAGTAAAATTAGGGAAGACCTTTAAATACAATGAAATCAGTCCGGAACAATAAAATGTGAGAAAGTGATCTACATTATTTATCTAATTAATATATTTTTTAATTGCACAAAAAATTACATAACAAATAAATTCATTATAAAGTAGATTATATGCAAAATGATCGTGAAAAACATTATTTATACTTTTGAAAGAGAAACTTCCCCATTAAATAGAATATACTATAAAAATATTATAGATTCGAGTAGAATACGAAAATACCTTTGAGATGTAACGAAAGCAGCGCCTTATTCGGCACTGACGTCACCAATTTATTAAGGGGAGAGTAAGAGAGGCACTTTCGCTCTTTAACAATCGGGGAACGATAGGATAGGTCGAATGAATAAATGATTTTCCTTAATTAGAACATACAACTTAAATCTATTCAGACAAACAAATGCAAAATCGGTTATAATAAAGTTTACATCACGCGCACATGTACAGAACAACTTAAACTAACGCGGGAGGACGAATTGCCCGGCGACTAAATCGCCTTGACCATTCGCCTCCTTATAAGTAAAAAAAAGAAAAGATACACCGAAACCTCACTACCGCGTTACGATGAGCATAGCCGGCAAGGGATTGCCTGGCTACCTATCGTTCCTATACGGCCGCGCATCACCATGAGAGAGAGAAATACCGGGAGAGAGAGATAACCTGACCTTTGTCCTTGGCGATGAGCCGGCAACGGGGAGTTGACCTGGCCGCTGGCTGGACGTCTTCCTCGGCGTAGCCCGTGGTGAACCCACTGGAAGTCGTGCCGTGCACGGTGGCGAAGGCGACACTGAATGCCCTACTGCAGGTGTTGTCGCCACACGTAGCCTCGTCTTGCCCTGGTCTGGTCACTACTGCACGTGTACTTCTTTTTCTCTCTTTGCGCTGCTTCTTTTCTTCGCTACTTCCAACTTCTCTCCTTAACTTTCTTCCGGGAACTAGATCACGCGACTTGACGCATGGTCAGCGTTCGCACTCTCGCCGGGCTCTCCCACCAAGCCCACTCATTAGGCGGCGTGCGACAAAAGCGCTAATTGGTCGCGCGTCACACGCCGGCCCAAACCTGCATAGTGCGTGCATAGGTGCGCACTCTAGCATGCTCGCTAACTCTCTCTCTCTCTCTCTCTCCCTCTCTCTCTCTCTCTCTCTCTCTCTCTCTCTCTCTCTCTCTCTCTCTGTCTCTCTCTACCTCATAGTCGCTGCGCTCTTGCTTCTTCGGGCGCTCTCAATCTTGCTCGGCAATCTTCGGCGGCTGGAAAACATAAAGGCCAGTGGTTAGACGCAATACATATATGCGCCCAACGCTGACCACGTCGCCATGCCGAGCGATAAGAGGGAGAGAGAGAAGGAGGGTAGACGAGGAGCAAGCGTACTGCTTGCTCTCGTCACAGAGATAGAAAAGATTTTTTTTACTATAAATGTAAGTGGAAATTGTGATTTTTTTCGTGTTATAAACTAATTTTTTATTTTTATAAATTACATAAAATAGGTGTAAAATTGTATGGTATTCAGATTAAAAAATACGAAATTTCAATAAATATTAATTTTTATATTTTATAGTGCAAATTGGGCAGTATACACGATATTTAATGAAATTCTGATGAAAGAATCAGAATATAGAAAAAAAAAATACTTAAAAAAAAAAATTCTACCATATTTAGAAGTGGTGTAAATTAATTATGCAAATAAGGTAGCTCGAAAGCCTCGAAGTCGTGAGGAGAGGATCATTCCCCTGACCCTCACCTCTGCCGCGGTAGGTGCGCGCGTCCGCGCGGGGCGCTCTTATTGTTACAATTAACTTTGCTTATAGAAATGAAAATCCTGCATAGCTTCAACAAATTCAGCGTATAGGTAAATTCTTCTCAAATCGAAATCAGCAATTAAATATGAAGAAATTTATAAACAAGACACGTTATGGATTAAAAACCAAAATAATAATATCTTGGCTCCTAATTATCGTAGAAAGATCCTGTTTTTTTAAATGAAAGGTCTTTCAATTGCCAATTGAATGAATTTTATTAGATTCAAATATGTTTATAGCTTCATTATTAAATTCTATTTTACAACTAAGCAATTTCAGTCTTTCGTCTTTTTCTCGGAAACTAATTATCGAAAAATTATCAAGATTTTTCTACCGATAGATTTCATCGTCCTTCTTAGGTTACATTTGGTCTTTTTTTCTAAATCTGGTCAGGACGGCCGCGGTACACCGTCAAAGTTGAAACTTTGTCGCGCTCTAGCTCGTAAACAATTAACTTTCGAAAAATCGGATTGGCCTATTATACATTTTTTAAAGTTGTATCGGCCCTGAAAGTTTAGACAAAATTTATTGAAAATTGAAGAAGATATAAGCGTTTGTTTTTTTTTGCAATCTTGGAAACAACCCAAGATATTGTTATTAATAAAAAAAATTTAATTTTTGAACATGCTTATCCTTATGTAGAATTATCTCAGGAATCGAATTCCGTTGAGCTTATATCGATAGGGTAATCAGGAAAAAAGATATAAGCAAATAACTAAAAAAGTGCCTTTTTTTGCAATAAATCGTTAATAAAATAATGTCCCGGAAACTTTTGGAAATCAAAACTATTTTTACCATTATCTACATGTTGTTCCGCGTCGAAATAAAAAAAAAATCTCGCTGTTCACGAACAATATAGATCTATTTTTTTTTCTTTTCGTACCAGAATGACCGGACTATTTAAGGTCGCGATAAAACTGTTTATTTGAAAGAAAGTGAAAGCAATAATTAAGTTTCATTCATAGCAGATGATTTAGATGATTTTTATGTTAATACTACAGTTTCTACTAGGTATATGAGAAAAAGGATCTCTTTCGTACGCAAAACTGCAGGTAGGAAATCAGTGCTTGTAAAATATGAAGATGACATGAAAGATCGATCACAATTATTAGATAAAATTTATCATGGATGTTTTATAGAATTTGAAATAAACAATGGAAAACACGAAAAAAATGACCTGTAGTATAGGGTATTGCAAGTAATTTACTATAAGAAATTATAGAAAAACTTAACTTAGTTCCGGCTTCATTTTTTCCGTTTCGTTCACCCTTCGAACGTTGGACTCAGGTGTTGTTATTGTGCTGGCTTCTCTTTAGTAATGATATTGTCTGTTGCAGTGATAATGTCATTCAAGAAGATCCTTGCGCACGATCAAATCTCTCGAGCACGTAATATTATTGTATTGCTAAAATATGCAATAAATATGTCGACTCTTTTTAATTTAAAATCACGTTTTATGTTTGCCCGTTATTAATATCTACTCGATACCCATTCATAATGAAAATCAATATTAAATTTGATTTGTCTATTGCTTGATTTAGCGGTTTTAACCACGTCATGTGAAACGCATGTGCTTTAACACTGGGTTACCAAGTACCTGATCGATGTGGTGGATAGTCTCGAAACAAGGAACAAATTTTTTTTTTAAAACGTTAACGAAATTGAATAACCATTTACTTATTTCACTCATCATTACAATATATTCAGCTCATAAATATATACCCTATACTGTAACAGGCTGTCGTTCAGTCGATAATCTCTAAAATTGCCCTTGTTATAACTAGACGAAGCCTTGTTATCTATGTGCTCAAAGCACAGTAACCTACCTTGCCTCGGAGTGCGCCTGCGCAGAGTCTCTTCACTGTTCCGAGTTGGGTTCCCCCAACTCACCGCTTGGCGGCGCTGTCGCCCCTTGCTAGTAGCGCTCGTGCGGCCGCCGCCGGAACCTAAGTAGTCGACTCGCGTCTATCGGAATTCGCACGGTTCGTGCTACGCAACCGGCGAATTCGAATCGAACGTAAACACTGACGCGACCTCCGGACAAAGGAAAAAACACAATAACGGAAACTCGTTTAAATGAAAATAATGATTGATTTATTCAATTAAATCAATGACACGGGGAATCTGCCGAGAGTCTGACGCACGCACGCGTGAATGACAACACACGCAAATTGAGAGAGAGAGAAAACCGCGATTACCGCGAACTACCGGCTCGCACGCAACAAACAAATTCTCCTCGCGCACGCTGCGCGGGATCGCTCGCTAATTAACAACAATTAAAAAGGGGGAAAAGGTGCACCTACCGCAAGAACGACGAGGATACGGTGGCCAACCGTATCCGAACGACAAATCGTTGGAACGCCGCTACGCTGCTCGCTGCACCGCCTCGAATGCTGTTATTGCTGTTGTTGTTGCTGCTGTCCTTGCTACCTCTATTGTTGCTGTTTCTACTGCTGCTGTTGCTTTTGCCGCAATTGCTGCTGCTACTGCACCCTCGCACTCAAGTTCGCAAAGTCACAGGAAACAAACGAGAAACTCACGAAGGTTGGAGGTTAGCGCGACGCTGACAGACTGAGTAACACAGTCATACTGCCGGTCGGAGCCTCCCCTCCCGGTCATTGCCCCTTACGCGCTCTCTCTCTCTCGCGAACCGAACGCGGCTCCTCTCGCTTAGCCGCTCGTTAACCTCGCGCGAGTCTTACGATTTTCGGTAATCGTTGCAATACATTTACTATAATGAAGACGCAACATTCTCTTTACTATTTAAAATAGACATAAATCTTCAATTTATATGAAATCGAACAATTTATTTAGTAATGCTTATCTAATTTTTGTGTTATCAATAGTGGTGTATTGCAATATCATTTTAGTTCATTTTTTAAAATAATTTATATACTATTCTGCACGTATAGTTTTATCGTTATAAGGTTAAGTTAACAAAATTAAATTTGCAATAAATTGCTATTAATCAATATTCCAAACTTAATGAAGCAATTAAAGATCTGAAAAAATATCACTACTGAATTAATAAATATTTAAATACCGTTTTTACTGATTATAAAATTGAAATACAATTTATATTGATATTTTAGAATTTATTAAATAGTATTCTATTTATTGCAGCTGAGGAAATAGAAAAAATAAATCTTCCAGTAACTATAACATCTTCACGTGATACAACAATAGATTCGTCCGATTCTTTTTCGGAATCAACAGTAGAAGAAATTATAACTCTCGGATTTGCAAGAGACCGAGTTATTTCTGAGCTGCGAAGATTTAATGGTGACAAAGTACAAGCTATTGCAGCATTGTTCGCCGAGTCTTTGAAATTTTAAAGATTCCTTTATACATTTTGAATTATTAAACTTTTGAATAGAGATTCTTTGAAGTACCAGTGTGTTGCTTAAATTTATTTCTAACTTAATGAATGTAAATTTGGCTAACGTATATACTACATTTATCATGTAAATGTTTTACATTTCCAAAACTTAATTCTGTTCATATTGAATATATTGAACCATGAATTCATCTATTCATTTAATATCTTGTAATGTAGGTATATATTTAAATGAAAGAATTATAAATAAATTAAGTGATACAGTACAGTTGAATATCAATAATTCACGTGTCAAAAATTTTAATTATTGTTTATATTCGTCGTCTGATTAACCCGTTAACGTCCATAGGACACATTTTTTAAGTTTGAGTTTGAATTGTTACCTCGCAATGAATTCGAACTCAAATAACTTAAAAGTAACCGTACCCTATGTTTTCGAGGGTGCTCTTTCGAATGGTGATGATCAGAAGTCGAAAAAAAGATTTCTAACCTCAAAAAAATCAAAAATAAAAAAAAAAACGTGATTTTGAAAAAAAAAATTTGTTTTTAAACTGATTTTCTGGAGCCTATACATTTTTGTATCGGTCTAAAACCGGTTATAAAGGTGTCCTCGATATCTGAACTAAATGTTAGGATGATGACATTTATTTGAATAATTTTTCATCTAAGCAAAATGGCGGCCGAAATAAAAAAATTTTGTTCTAAACTTGATAAATTTTTTTCTCAGAAAGTATAGGTGTCAGCAAAAAATTTATAAGAATAAAAATATCTTAAAATCGGCTAAGAAATACTCTTAAATTTTTTCAAAACGTTTTGAAACAATTTTTGATTTTTGAAAAATTCAAAAAAGTTGAAAAATATTTTGAAAAAATTCAAGAGCATTCCCTGATTAATTCTAAGATATTTTTGTTCTAATAAATTTTTAGTTAAACTGCATAGTTTTGAAGAAAAAATGTGTGAAATTGTAAAAAAACTTATTTGTATATTCAAAATAATGAGCAACAAATAAATAAAAAGGCCGAACCAACGGGATTTTCGGTTCTCTAATTGTTATGCCTGTTAGCCGGCGATGGTACATCACCGTTGTCCATCTCTTACCACGGGGAGGTCGACAATAGAAAGAGACATTTTCTTTTTTTTTTGTTTTTTGCCTTGTTTTTTTACTTTTTTTTTATTTTTTTTTGTTTCTCGCCTTATTCAAATTTTTTTTATACTTAAATGTTTTGGATAAAATCTGATAACTAGATTTAATTGAAACTTATAAAATTATTTATGAAAATCAAGGAAACATGTAGAACAAAAATATTTTTGGCAATCAACGCAAAATTGTTGTGTTCTTTTAGAACATTTTGTGAAGTTGAAACATTTCTTTTTTGCCATGACTTTTTCGTGTGTGTGAGATTGTCGATTATTGGTTTCATTCAAGTATTTTGATGCTACAGCTAGTGCAATGTCTTTTATGGTTACAACTTTTTTACCACACACCAAATTCTTGAGTACGGCGGCATTTGTAATTGATCCTTGAATAATTCTCATTAAAACTACCCAAGTCCACTTTTTCGACCTAATACACGGCAACAGACTGCTACAGTAATAATCATGTTGGTCTACTCCACCCATAAAATTGTTGTACAAATTGAAAGCATAAGGACAAGGTATTTCAACTTTACCATGTTCATCTTTAGAATATCGTTTTGCTGAAGACAATGGAGTAATGCCAGCAGCCGTCGAGAGCAATGAGACAATTTTAGAGTCTATGACTGATATGTAGTTGACACCACTATTTTTGTCATGTTTCACAAAATATGTTCCTCTCTTTGATTTATTATTAAGATCAATAGTGACTCCGCTTACTCTATTTGCTCTCACAGTACTTGTAGCTCGAAGACCAATTTTTCGTAGATGAACGAAAAGATCTGGTGAACTGAAAAAGTTATCGAAATAAATGTGATAACGACTGATCTTTCTTGGTGACACAGTTGTTAGGAGCCTCTGGAGCATTTGTAGAACAACGCGGCTACCCAAAGCACAATTTCTTAAATTCTCTAACTGCTTCGAAGGGAGATGGTTTGATCCTTTCCCACAATATATATCAAAATCAAAAATAAATCCTTCTTTATTGCAAATAGCCCACAGTTTCAAACCAAAACGTACAGGTTTACCTTTCATAAACTGCTTCAAGACTGTCTTACCATAAAATTTGATCATACATTCATCAATTGATAAAGCTGTGGAAAAAATCGCAAATTGTTGGCAGTTTTTTCGAAAAATATCTAAAGGAACACGTATACGCCAAGCTCTATCATTTGCATTTTTGTCTTCATTTTTTGATAGCTTTATTTCTGATTTTATTTTTTCAAATTTTTGACGACTCATGGCTAATTTTACTAATTCGCAGACTAGATAATTCCTAAAAATGTGTTCAAGTCTTGTAGAGTAAGATCACCACCATTGCATACTGTTGCTTCTACTATAAATGCCTTTAATTCATCAGAAAAAAATAATTCAAACAAATCAGTTAGAGAATAATCGAGGATCTTTTTACGATCAGATTCTGAAAGAAAAACTTCACTTGTTAACTTTTCCCCATAAACTTTTTCGCCATCCAACCACTCATAAACATGGTTTGGTTCTAACTTCTTTTGATTTTCCGAGTAGCTATCAAGAACTTGATTGTATAAAGTAGTAGGTATAAGATTTTCAAGGAATGAGCATACATCAATGTGATCATTTTCATTTTCTGAATTTGAATCAGACTCAGAATCTTGAGAATCGTCTAAACTGGGAATCATAATGACATCAAAATTCTCGTCATTTTCTTCGGTTTCAATATCATATTGTTGATCAGAATTTTTTGATCGTTTTTTGGGTGGCATTTTTCCGACTTCACAATAAAATAATTCTACTATTTTCTTATAAGAATATGTAATAATGCAATAAAAAATTATTATTTAAGTTATCTAAACAACTACAAATTGTTTCCGAACTCAAGGAAGATATAAAAAAATATTTTTAGAGCTTTAGTAATCATCAAACTACTTAGTGTAAAGATAACATATTTTTACATTTTATACAAAGATTCTTTTATATATTTTCTGAAAGTAGTATAATATTATGTGAAGCTGACAATACGTTGACAGTTAATTATCAAAATAATAATTTAAAAAACTGATTTGAAATGCATGAAGATTAAATTGTATCCAACTATACAAATAAGAAGTGCTTTTTTACAAATTCACGTAATTTTTTCTTCAAAACTATGCAGTTTAACTAAAAATTTATTAGAACAAAAATATCTTAGAATTAATCAGGGAATGCTCTTGAATTTTTTCAAAATGTTTTTTCAACTTTTTTGAAATTTCATTTTTTTGAATTTTTCAAAAATCAAAAATTGTTTCAAAACGTTTTGAAAAAATTTAAGAGTATTTCTTAGCCGATTTTAAGATATTTTTATTCTTATAAATTTTTTGCTAACACCTATACTTTCTGAGAAAAAAATGTATCAAGTTTAGAACAAAATTTTGTTATTTCGGCCGCCATTTTGCTTAGATGAAAAATTATTCAAATAAATGTCATCATCCTAACATTTAGTTCAGATATCGAGGACACCTTTCTAACCGGTTTTAGACCGATACAAAAATGTATAGGCTCCAGAAAAACAGTTTAAAAAAAAATTTTTTTTTTCATAATCACGTTTTTTTTTTTAATTTTGATTTTTTAGAGGTTAGAAATCTTTTTTTCGACTTCTGATTATCACCATTCGAAAGAGCACCCTCGAAAACATAGGGTACGGTTAGTTTTAAGTTATTTGAGTTCGAATTCATTGCGAGGTAACAATTCAAACTCAAACTTAAAAAATATGTCCTGTGGACGTTAACGGGTTAATATAAAATTATATTAATTATTTATATAGGGTCATCCTGACATATGAGGAGTTTGATACTGTTCGAATCGCTTTGAAAAATTAAATTTTTTTTGTAATTAGGTAATGAAATAAGAGGGATTGAATGTCAGCCAATAAGTGGCCGGCTACAGCCGATGGGCCGCAGTACGGTGAGCCGTGGCAGAGAAGGAAATTCGACGTGTGCATACCACTGGTGATTACGGTGCTCAATTCTTGATGTGTGATCTGTAGAAGCCGTTATATCGTCGTATTTTGACATTAATAAAATTATTATTGCAGTGATATGCATGTATGTGTGGCGTGCACTTTCTCTCCACGTGTTGGCCAGAAGTTTACCGTTTTATGCAAAAAACTTCATAAATCTTGAACGAATTGCTGGAGATTTTATGGCCATCTGCAATAAGCACATTAAATGTCGACGGTCGCGCGTCCACGTTAATGAGTTTGTTTAAAGGAAAGCGCGCGCCCAACCTTCGTTTTTTTAACGGTAACCTGCGGTCCCAGCTACCCTTTTCACGGACCTCGTGGGAGGGACTTGCCCTTTTCACTGGATTTTTCTGAGGAGAAGCGCCAAGTAGCTGTAGCGAGTTTCAGACACTCTAGCCCGAACTCGAGACCAGCTAACAGCTCGGCCTTCTGCCAGCTTCGCGGTTTACGTTCTGCCGAGTCGCGTTACATTTATAAGTCTTGATTTGAATTAAATAAAGTTATTCTCACTCCAACTAAAAGTTCATTTCACCCTGCGACCACGGCCTCAAATTGGTGACCCCGACGTGATCTGGGTGAATAAGTGTAACGTGTGAAGTGAATCGTCATTCAAATCAGTGCTACATAAATCCTTTCAAACACCTACAACCATGACGGACGACGCTGCCACCGCCGCTACTGTTGCACTGATCGTCAACGTACAAACGCCACGACACTTCCATGCTCCACCGTTCACGGAAAGCAACGTGAAATTATGGTTTCGGTTGATGGAAGTTGTATTCAAAAATGCCAGCATCACCGACGACGAGGCCAAATACTGCCAATCTGTCGCATCTTTAACGCCATGTGCCATCGCGAAAGTGGAAGATGTCCTCGTCAACGCACCGAACCAAGGCTTATACGACGATCTGAAGGTGAAGCTGATCGAGCGTTTCACCGAATCGGATAGCGCGCGCGTACGCAAGCTGCTCGAAGGCGGGGAGATGGGAGACCATACTCCTTCCGAATTTTACCGGAGCATAAAGACGCACGCGACTTCGTCAACGACTGACGAGTTCATCCTTCAGGTATGGAGGACTCGTTTACCCTTGCAAGTGCAAGCTGTCATAGCAGCTTCCAGCGAGACTGAACTGGATAAAGTTCTGAAATTGGCCGACACGGTTCACGCCGTAAACCCTCAACAGCTTAAGCAGCAAATAAGTGAAATTTCTGATTTCGCTGCTCTCGTTGAACAGATGCGCAAGCTGACGGCGAAAATCGACGCGATTACTAATCAGCAAAGCCGTTCACGCTCCCGTTCTCGCCGAGGTCTTGAAAAACGTGATCGCGGTATGACTCCTGCACCGACGTCGAACAACAACCCCTCGGATGGATACCTTTGTTTTTACCAATAAAGGTTTCAGGAGCGTGCAGAAAAGTGCCGTGGACCATGTACCTAGTCGGGAAACGATGCGCGCCGTCAGTAAACGCGGCGAGTTCTGACGACTTCGCGCATCGCCGAATTCATGTGAAAGACTTTAATTCAAATAAATCTTTCCTCGTGGATAGTGGTGCTCATTTGTGCGTATAGCCGCTGCTAACGGATCTACAATCAGCACCAACGGAATCATGTTCTTAAGTCTTAACCTATCGCTACGCCGCGAGTTCAACTGGCCGTTCGTCATCACCGACGTGAGTTCCGCGATTATCGGAATGGATTTCCTCTCGCATTATGGCCTGCTAATCGATCCAAAAAGAAAAATCTTGATCGATAATACCACAGGTTTGTCAGTGCGCGGAATCTCGTTCGAAGGAGGAAAGACGTCAGTTAAAACAGTGATCGGCGCCTCTGCGTATCACGAGCTTTTGGCTAAGTACCCGGACCTCACGAGCCCGCTAAGTTTTCGAAAAGGCGAAGTCAAGCACCGAGTGCAGCACCACATTAAGACGACGCCTGGCCCGCCAATACGTGCGAAGCCTCGTCGCCTTAGACCTGATCGGCTGAAGGTGGTAAAAGTCGAATTCGACATGCTGTTGTGGCAAGGGTCATGCGGCCATTGAAGAGCCCATGGTCGATGCCACTCCACGTTGCTGCTAAGAAGGACGGAAGCCCACGTCCATGCGGCGATTATCGCGCCGTCAACGAACGCACCGTCGCAGACAACTATACTCCGCCACACATCGAAGATTTTGCGTATAATCTACACGGCAAAAAGGTATTTTCGAAAATTGACCTCGTGCGCGCGTTTCATCAAATTCCCATCGTACCGAAAGACACCGAAAAAGCAGCGCTTACAACGCCTTTCGCATTATTCGAGCCGCTTATGATGATGTTCGGTCTAAGAAATGCTGCGCAGATGTGCCAACGTTTTGTTGACGAGATTGTGTACGCGGTTTAGATTTTGTATTCGCGTACATCGACGATTTTTTGATCGAATCGGATGATGAGAAGCAACATCTTGAGCACTTGAAGATTTTGTTTGATCGTTTTTCTGAGTATGGCGTGGTGGTTAATCCCGGAAAATGTGTGTTCGGTCAAAGCGAAATAACTTTTCTCGGGTACAAAGTTAACGCTAACGGCATCGCTCCTATGGAAGAACGCGTCGAGTCGATCATTAAGTATTCATTGCCATCTACGATTAAAAACCTCCGCGGTTATTTCGGCATGTTTAACTTTTATCGTAGATTCGTACCTCACGTCGCCGCTATTCTTCAACCATTGAACAATTTGCTAACTGGCGTGAGGAAAAGCAAAGAACCCGTAGACTGGACCGACGAAGCTCGTGACGCTTTTAATAAATCAAAAAACGTTCTCGCTAAAGCAACAATGCTTGCGCATCCTGCCCCTGGCGTGCCCATCAGCATTGTCGTAGATGCTTCGGATTTTGCCGTTGGTAGTGCTTTACAACAACGCGTGAATAATACATGGTAACCTTTAGCTTTTTACACAAAGTCTTTAACGCAGACCGAACGTAAATACAGCGCATATGATCGAGAACTTTACGCGATTTACAAATCGGTTAAACGTTTCAGACATATGGTGGAAGGTAGAAACTTTACAATTTTTACGGACCATAAGCCTATTACTTACGCTTTCCAGCAGAATTTAGATAAGTGTTCATATTAAAGGTTCCGAAAATTGTGTTGCCGATGCATTGTTTCGCGTCGAAGCAATCGCCTCATCCGTCGATCACGATTCTCTCGCTTCTGCTTAGAAAAGCGATCTCGAGTTGCGCGAATTGCTCTCATCAAAAAATTCGTCACTTAAATTGAAAAAAGTTTATTTTCCGGATTACAACGTGCATTTATATTGTGATACGACAAGCGACGTCGTACAACCATATATGCCCTTACCTTTACGTCACGCCGTATTTAACTCACTACATTACCTTTCGCACCCTGGCACACGCGCATCTCAACAACTGGTAAATTCGCGTTTCGTTTGGCCTAATATTAACAAAAATTGTAAAGAGTGGACGCGAGCATGCATTTCATGCCAGCGATGCAAAGTTACTCGACACGTGTACTCTCCAGTCGCGTAATTTGAGAAATTAGCCAATCGATTTGAACATATACACATTGATATTATAATCATGAGTTATTGTCAAGGGTTCCGTTATTGTCTAACATGCGTCGATCGTTTTTTTCGCTGGCCTGAAGTAGTCCCTCTTAGTGACATGGAAGCTAACACCGTTGCTAAAGCTTTACTCTCGACTTGGATTGCTCGATTCGGCGTGTCCGCGCGTATAACTACTGACCAAGGCCGTCAATTCGAATCAACTCTTTTTGCGGAATTATGTAATTTGTTAGGTACAAAGCGAATTCGTACGACAATTTACCATCCACAAGCAAACGGCCAAGTAGAAAGAGTGCACAGGCAACTTAAAGCAGCAATAAAATGGCACTACGGTAACGATTAGTTATCCGTACTACCTGTAGTTCTTTTAGGTATGCGTAATGCATTAAAGGAGGATCTTGGAGCGACGGCGGCCGAACTTGTATACGGCGCCGGATTGCGTTTACCCGCGGAATTGTTCCACGCAAGCAACCAAAATCCGACTTCAGACTTCGTTGAAGCTTTCAAAAAGCGTATCAATAACGTGAAGCCATCACCTACACGACGACATAGCGAAAAAAACGTCTTTATTTTTAAGGATTTAACTACTACTCCTTACGTCTTTTTGCGTCACGATGCCATACGAGGTCCATCCGACCCTCCGTACGACGGGCCTTATAAAGTCCTCGAACGTAACGATAAATCTTTCGTTATCGATATAAACGGTAAAAAGGTTCGCGTTTCTATCGACAGACTCAAGCCCGCATTTATTGTATCCGATGACATCGAAAACAATGTAAATAATAAATGCAATCGTGAATGCTACGACGAAGTGGACTACGATATCGTAGTACAACGTAATTGTGATAAAGATACGCCTCCTTTTGAAATCGTCCCTGCACCTGATAATACCGAGCAGCTTGGACCACACAACATCAATTGTAATAACAACGAAGCGCCTGTTAATGTTCAACAGCCATGTCCTGCTAACAAGAACCGCTTTACCACTCGTTCTGGACGAAATGTTCATTTTCCAGACCGTTACCAAGCTGGTTTTTAATAGCTTGTTCGTTTGCGTATCTTGATGATAGAACAGTTTTAATTCTAGTTCAGCGTTACCACTGGTAAAGGGGTGATATGGCGTGCACTTTCTCTCCACGTGTTGGCCAGAAGTTTACCGTTTTATGCAAAAAACTTCATAATTCTTGAACGAATTGCTGGAAATTTTATGGTCATCTGCAATAAACACATTAAACGTCGACGGTCGCGCGTCCGCGTTAATGAGTTTGTTTAAGGGAAAACGCGCGCCCAACCTTCGTTTTTTTAATGTTAACCTGCGGTCCCAGCTACCCTTTCCACAGACCTCGTGGAAGGGACTTGCCCTTTTCACTGGATTTTTCCGAGGAGAAGCGCCAAGTAGCTGTGGCGAGTTTCAGACACTCTAGCCCGAACTCGAGACCAGCTAACAGCTCGGCCTTCTGCCAGCTTCGCGGTTTATGTTCTGCCGAGTCGCGTTACATTTGTAAGTCTTGGTTTGGATTAAATAAAGTTATTCTCACACCAACTAAAAGTTCATTTCACCCTCCGCCCACGACCTCACATGTATACTTACCTCCTCCACATGTGCATGTAATAGTAATATGAATATCTTTTTCAAAAAAGAGTTGGAATCTAATAATGTAATTACGCACATAATTACTGCACATTGTTTAAATATTCGTGTAGGTACAACATAATAAATTATTGAACTACACGAACAGTTGCAATAGGCATGACTCATATTGCAACTACATGTGTTACATGCATTGCGTGTATATAACTATTATGAAAGCGCACGCACCCTCGTGCATGCATACATATGTCTATACAGAGTGATTTCATTCCATATCCTAGCAATTTTATAATACTTTTAAACACATAAATCAAAAAAATAAATCGATTGTTAATTAATTTTGTGTTATTACAATATACGAGTATAATAAATAAACATGAATTGATTTAATTTATATAATAATTTAGATAATCATATTAATTTTAAAAGAAGTTGTCACAATCAACCTGAATCGATTACACGTGTTGTTTCTGCACGTGATGTAATTACATGTTACACGCATAATTATTATTTCATATAATATGTGTGTTGCAATAGACAACACGGGTCATGGATTTTGGCTATAACGTTATTTATTTATCTCAACTTAATCACGAAAGAGTGACCTCAAAAAACTTTTTCGCCTGGTTTTGCGCTTTTAACTGAGATAAGAAGAAAAATTGTAAACACATTTCAATAATACCAATGTGCTCGTCTTGGAAAATGAAAATAAGCATTACTTTTAATTTTTTTAAACTTGTCAATAACCACTCTTATTTAGGTGTTGGAAGGATAATATGATTATTTTATGTACTTTTAAGTAGTTGAGTGGAATTATTTTGGTTTATTTATTTTTGAGGGATGATTACGCCCCCTTAAAGATTTAGAGGTTTATTTTTCAAGCCTACAAAGGTCTTATTTTTCTTGAAATCACTTAATTTTTATTTGAAAAGATTTATTCAATAGAAAAATCAAAATCTGGATTCGCTCTATATTTTTCGAATTTTTTTCTTCTTATGCTCATATCCACTTTTCATCTTAGGGGTTGATTTTTCATAAAAAAAAAGAATAAGAAATAGCTTAATTTTTATTACGATTTAAAACCTCCCCATGATTTTTATTGAATTTAATTGAAGAGTGAATTTTCACATTTAACAAGTGGTTACATTATTATTTGTAATATTTATCTCTTTTTAAAAGTATTCAATAATTTTTTATTGTTTTTGAAACTGTTCTGATTTTACTTGATATTTGAGGGATGTTTTCCTTCTTTAATGATTTTGGGGGGTTGGTTTTTCAATCCCAGTGATGCATTATACTGATGCATTATAAAATCTATAATGCATCAGTATTATCTATATTAAACTTACTTAATTTTAATTTTACAACAATATTTTAATAGGAAAAGTAAATCGTTGATTAAATTCATACATGTTGATGATGCTTTTATCATTAACAATTATTATACTTCCAATCTCTAAATAGGGGTGGTTTTTAGAGTGATGTAAAAATTTAGAGTGATGCTCATTTTCATTTTTTAAGATGAGCACATTCATATTTTTAAAATATTTTAACGCTTTTTTTTCTTGCCTCTGTCGAATGCGTAAAAACAGACGAAAAAGTGGTGTCTTGTACGGTCACTCTTTGACGACGGCATCTCAAAGCGAAACTCTTCCCCTTCAAAATACACTGCTTATTTTTTCTAATATCATTTATTTCGACAAAGATATGATACATTGAAGCATGATAAATTTGCATTTTAGTAAATGTTTAAGCAGAGGAAAATTTTGTTGAAAGATAACAGTGGTAAACCTAGTAGGATACAAGATTAGTAGGTTAAGGAATTTTGTATGTAGTGGTTGGGGGTTATTGCAGGACATAGGGTTCTTTGGTTACGGTACTTGGGATATTATTTTATTTTTTAATGAATGTTATCTTTAAGAGAAACTACCCTCTGCTTAAAGAACATTTGCAAAAATGCTAATTTATATTACTTCAATATGTCATATCTTTGTCGAAAAAATTGATATTGGAAAAAAATGAGAAGGATGTCTTGAAAGGCAAGAGATACTCTTTAAAGTACTGTCAGAAAGTTTGCAGAAAAATATTTTTTCACAAAGTTATTGGGGTTGAAAAACAGTAAAAAAACATGTTTTTGACACTTTCAGGTTAAGACATCTCGAAAACTGAGGGTGATGAAGCAAATCTGAGCTCGGATTCGGATTCAGTCAACATATCAAGTTCCTTTGTATACATCAGGTCTAGTCTGATGGTGTGAAAATGTTTTAGTCTACGAGGGTGGTCCGATAAGTACTTAGCCTCACCGCCCGATGGCGCCACCCTGCTAAAAAAGTTCCATTCATTCCTATTCGGGATCATTCATATTCAATGGTAATCAATGAACTGAATGGTTCAATGTTCCGATGACGATTGAAACTGAATGATTTTCAATAATACTTCATGGTAAGCATAACTAATAGTAAAACTTACCATTAAATTTAATAGAATTCAATCTTTCTGAATAATACTTTGTATAGGAATGGTTTCAATGATAATCTATCCAATTGCATTGAATGAATATCAATCACAGTTCAATAAAATAATTAATCAATGATATTTTATTGTATATCTTTCTATGAATTTTAATAATTTTTCGATACAATAATTGTCCAATCATATTTTATTGAATCATATTATATGGATATTAATTTTTATCCAATTACACGGTTGGTCAATAATATTTTATAGAATGGTTTTCCATATATGCCAATATGAGCAAAAGCAATACTGTAACTTTAGCAATATTTCATTTAATAGTTTTTTTTTTAATCTTAATGATTGGTCAATATAAAAATAACCCAATCGCATTCAATGAGGTATAGTATTCTATAATTTCTTATGAAAGGCAAACAAAAAAATTTCAAATATTTTCAATTGAATATTTTTTAATGAAATCTAATGATTGGTAAATGCAAGTAAAACTCAATCGTATTCTATTGAGAAGTTGTTTGTATAGTTTTGAATAATCCTTCATTCTACAAACTTATCAAATATAATTTTATTCTATAATTTATCATTAGATGATGAAAGAAAAAATTTCCATAATTGAATGATTTTTTATAAATTTGAATAGTTGTTCGATACTATAATTGAAGAATCGTATCTTATGCTTTGGATATTATAATTTTATATAGGTCATGAATGAAAAAACTCCGTATATGATTTGATTGAATAGACTTTTATCAATTTTAATAGTTTTTAATATTAAAAAAAAATATTAAATAAATAAATTAATATTAATATTGGATTGATGTGATCTTCACATTAAAAACTATTCAAAATTATTCAACGTCAGAAAAAAAGTTGATCATGCGATAAAAGACCATTAATACCCATTCAATTAGATTGATATTTTCTATTGCATATTATTGAAATGTTAGGACTTTCATATTCAAAACTATTGAAAATTATTCAACGATACGAGACTTGAATGTTGCAATAACAAACCATTGATATCAATTCAATCAAATTGATTATCGCATTCGAATGGTTTCAAATCCTCGATTTGACCACGAATTTTACCATTGAAATCGATTGGGTAACATACATGAGAAATTTCATTGAATCCTATTGAAAACCATTACTTTAATAGTATATTTTTCTATTGATAATGATTAATCTCGATTAGGAATCAATAGTAATCTATATTATTGGAACCAATAGTATTTAATATCTTGACATTTCTTGTTGGATGAGGAATCATATTCAATGGTCATTTGGAGTGTTCAGATCGAAGATTGAAAACCATTCAGAAATTCTTCAATGGTTTTTAATGGAACTTTTATAGCAGGGCACTCTCGCAAAAAAAAATATTCTATCACGAAGTACCTTCTCGATGGTTACTGTCAAGATTTCAGCCAAATCGAAGTTGTAGTTTATTTTTGAGAGCGCGTGAAAGCAAGTGTGTCCGTTGATTTTTGAAAAATGGAAAAAGAGTAGTATCGGTCGGTGATTCGATTCTTGTTTTTGGAAGGGAAATCGCGCAGCGAAATCAAAAAGCGCTTGAATGCTGTGTACGGGGACCAGTGTTGGGAAAATGACACGATTTTGTGGTTTTCGACATGTACATGTCAGAAGCTGTAAACAACGTCAAAAACCATGTCAGATTGTCAAAAACGTCAAAAACTTCCAAATACTATTGCGCATGCGCAGCAGTGTTACACCAACGTACTTTGCTATTGAAATTCTAATTTGAATATTTTTAATTCGACCTTTGATCCTTTGACGCTAAGAAAGCCCGGTGTTATTTATTTATCTCCAACAGTAAACTAACAACCTAAATGTAACAATTATCACAGTTTTTGTAAAATTAATTTTCACAATAAACACTAAACAGTAATAATAGTACTAGTACCAGGTAATTTATCATTCTTCATTTGAAAATTTCGGTTATTCACCTCAAATCTTATACTAAAGTGAAGAAGCGAATCATATTTCAGAAAAATCATATATTATTAACTGTTCAGGAATTAGTGATTTTTCCTAGTTTTCTTGTTTGGATTATTTATTAAAATGGCAGGTATATATACGATATTTTTCAATAATAATGTAGATGATCTAAAATAGTCTTTATTAAAATGTTTTGAATTCAAATTTATAATGATAATAATTTTTTTTAGCTAATATTGATCGTAATGAATTGGAAAGATTGCTTGGGCTATTTTTTTTTGGATGCAACATACCTTTCGTAATAGTCGAATCACCATTGTTTAGAAATTTCATTCAAGCCTTAAATCCAAATTACATTATTCCAAGTAATAAGACTCTCTCCAACAGTAATCTTAGTAATCGATTCAACGAGTTATAGCAATCAATAGCCAATATGGGTGTAAATAATGTAGTTTTGTTAATAGACGGATGGAAAAATAAGGCGGCCAATAAACAAAATGTTGTTGCCATGCTTCGTTTAGACAACATGCAGCGAACAAAGTAAATTTTTTTGAACACCTGGAATCTCAGTACTCATCGTGAAACTGGGGAAGCTTTGCGTCAAGTGGTTGACGAATGTATTGGAATGGCAAGAGAAAAATATAATATTAATATATACGCTGTTATCAGTGATGGTGCAGCTGTAATGATTCTCATGGGTCAACTTGTTGGGATTTGGCATGTAACGTGTAACAGCCATAACGGCAATTTGTTAGCAAAAAGTGTCGTGGATAACGAATTTGCAGGAAGAGTGCATGCTTTGCTAACAGATTTTAAAAGACCTGACTTAGACCGGTACCGCATCGGCTGTACCGGCACACCGCGTCGGCGCGCCATCCCACAGCGATGGCCGAAAAGATGTCAAAACGTGTTGTCAAAAACTCTGAAAGTTCAAGAGGTAATATACATAGTAAATTAGGTGTCAAAAACTATGTATTTTACCTATGGTAATTTACCTACCCACCACTGACGGGGACTCTCCTCCTTCGATGGCGATCGTCAAAAATTGGTTTAACGTGGTCGCACGTCGATTTTTGAAGAGCCACGTCCAGGTGTTCCGAAAACGGCTACCACGGAGGATAACGTGACAAAAATTCACGATCTCGTATTGGCAGATCGACGATTGAAGGTGCGCGAGATAGCTAAGATCGTAGGCATCTCAAAAGACCGCGTGGGTCATGTCTTACATGAAATTTTGGGCATGAGAAAGCTGTCGGCGCGATGGGTGCCGCGTTTGCTCACTCCGGACAACAAGCACAACCGTGAGATAACTTCAGAGCAATGTCTGACGCTGTTTAAGCGCATTCCGAAGGAGTTTCTGCGTCGTTTCGTGACAATCGAATAAACATGGATCCACTGGTATACACCAGAGACCAAGGAACAGTCGAAACAGTGGACTTTACCCGGCGAAAGTGCTTTGAAGAAGGCGAAGACTGCCCCATCGGCCGGAAAGGTGATGGCCACCGTTTTCTGTGATTCACAAGGTGTGATCTTCATCGACAACCTGGAGAGGGGCAAAACGGTCACAGGACTGTACTATGCCGAATTATTGGGCCGATTCGACGTCGAATTGCAGAAAAAACGGACCCATTTGGCGAAGAAAAAAGTGCTCTTCCACCATGACAACGCACCGGCTCACACCTCCGCCGTCGCCATGGCCAAATTAGTCGAATTAGGCTACGAACTGCTGCCCCATCCACCGTATTCTCCAGATTTAGCCCCGTGCGACTTCTTTTTGTTTCCAAACTTGAAAAGTCACTCGCCGGGCAGAAATTTGAGTCGAATGAGAAGGTAATCGCTGCCACGGAAGCCTAGTTTTCAGACCTCGAGGAAATGTATTTTTCAGACGGGTTAAAGAAGTTGGAGCATCGCTGGGCCAAGTGTATCGAACTAAAAGTAGACTATGTTGAAAAATAAAATGCCACTTTTCCAAAATTTTCGTTTTTTTTTTGTAGGCTAAGTACTTATCGGACCACCCTTGTATGTAATTGATATTGTTATTTTGTAGTAATACAAAGACCAAGGATATATGTGGAGATTAAAGAATTTTGTTTTTCGTTGATTTTTATTTTTTACATTTTATAAATTTTTTATTCGAATTTACAATTATAAAAATAGAAAAAGTCAAAAAAAAAAATAGAAATAAAACGAAAATAATACAAAATAAACTATTTTTTATTCCTTCGCGCATTGTTGCAAGCTCTGATCAGCGCCAATCTATATTTCTCTGCCATTATTCTTTCCGATTCATTAACGGTGTGGTCGACAAACTCTGATAAAGGAAATAACGAAGAATTATTCCTCTGTTAGATTCATTATTTTATTATATTTACGCAGTACATCGTTGTAAATTTATTGCAGAATGACCTTTGAACTGGCTTTTTTGATCGGCGTCATGCGTCAGAGCTCTTCCTATATCATTCTATATTTTGTAGTTATGTTGTCTAACTCAATTTGACAACATAAACAACGAAACCTTCGCAAAGCTGTACATACTCCTATAAAAAAAGTTCATTTGACTATTGCGTCAATGAGTTGAATAGGTATAAATAAATATAACTAAATTTTATCAGTCAAATTTATTAAACAATAAGCTACGTTTCCACCTTATTAATTAAAGGGACCAGCCAGGGTTTCGCCTGTAATTTAAAAATATGGCATTAATAATTTAAGTGACCATATTAAAATTAAATTGAGCTACTTTCCTGTGAGTACGCTGCATACTTGACCCATTTAAACATTTACAGATATCCTTTTTCCCTTTCCCTCCGAGTAGCTGGAAAGATGCTATAAACATTCCAGAGTCAAAAGTGCTTTATCGTAGGCTTTAAAAAAAATGAGTTGGTCCAGATTAATTCTGACAAATGCTTCTTTCCCCTTTTTTGTGTCATCACAACTTAAGCAGAAAACTTTTCTGAAAAAGAATCGATACATTATAAAAACATTCAATTTAAAGTTTCAATGCTTCATAATTTTTTTATATAAATAAATTTTTATATTAACTCCTACTTATTTTTCTCAAAATCTGCTACGCTTAAGCTGTAACAGATATGTTAAAGAACATCTGTGTAAAATTTCAGCTCAATCCATTCAAAACTCATGTCGGGATCATGCTGTAAAGATGTTAACTTTCTGAAATATCAATATACAAGAAAAACAAGTTTAATGTTTATAGTTATTATAATTTAGATTATTTTACTGAATCGAATTATTATAAATACAAACATTTTCTTGAGTCAATAAGTTTTAAAAATCTTCAATTTCCTCTATTTTCTTGAGTCCATGCATCTATTTGCCAAGATCCAGGTTACCAATCCCACCAGAGTGATATAAATCCTAGAAATAAAAACATCAATCTTATTAAAACTTGATACAAAAAAAATCAAACTAAAGTATATTAAAATATAGTCGTCTTTTTCAAACTTATCCTGAAAATAAAAAATGCAACAATTTCCGTAAGAAGATCAAAATATATAGTATAATTCAGTAAATTATAATATATAATACAAACTCTCATTAGTCAACAAATAAAATAATATAAGTTACTTACCTTTTATACTGCACTGTTTACATATCTGCATTATCCAATATCCATATGTGTTTTGTAGTCTACAAGACCCTTGCGAAGACAGCCCGACAAACATGTAATGTAAAAAAAGAAAATCATCATATCTTATTTATTTTTAATTGTACATCATAGAAAACTAGTTATTTTTAATTGTACTATTTTAATTTTGCCAAAAATTAGCAACAAAGGGTATTGAATATTTGCCTTCAATATATTGCCTTTGGAAGGAAAATATTTAAAAAATGAAATGGCAGAAAAATTGTACCTTCTGTAAATTAAATTGTACCATCCGTAAAATAGCATAAATTTACTTAGAAAATAAATAATATGAAAACAACCAATTGACATTTATTATGAGTAACGTATCCGGAAGTACACTGTGCGCATGCAGTCAATTGGTTGTTTTTCAAAATTAAAAACTTTTTCAAAATTATTAATATATATGTCAAAAACAACAATCTAACTTTATTGTATGTTCTTTTCAAATAGATTATTGGGTTATTGGGTTATTTGGAAAGAACATACAATAAAGTTAGATTGTTGTTTTTGACATATATATTAATAATTTTGAAAAAGTGAGAGGGGTGCAATTAAAACGAGCAAAGGTTCAATTTTTTGCCTTGTTTCTTTTGCAAAAATATTAAGTATTACTAAAGATATCGCAGTTGCAAAAAACGAAAAAATCATCATAGTTTTTAATTTTTTTTAGGACAACTGAAGGGGTTCAATTAAAATATTGAGCATTTTTGGAGGGTTCAATTAGAGATGTTTCGAATGGTATTTTTTTTTTCACTGTCCATTACACTTTGCAGGCTAGGGTAAGGGGGGTTACAAACTATCAATAAGAGAATGATTTTTACTGTAAGCAAACTTTAGCTGGCATTGAATAAAAATCATTCTATGTAAGTTTTCAATACTATTTCAATCTATATTATAAATAAATTGATTGTATTATTGAAAATAACTTTATTGAAGCAGATTGAAATAGTATTTAAAATGAAAAAGAATTTTGAGGCTTGTGTGTACGTGAGTTTGTTGTTGTATAGTGTAAATATTTTTACTTACTCAGTGAGCTCCAGCATCATAGAAATCATCTTCCACTTGCAGTCTCAATCTTCTCATAGCTTGTCGTGCTTCCTTGATTCTGTTTTGTGCTCATCTTTCTGCAAACAGAAGTCTTTGGTAGTTGCTGGAATTGACCCAATCTAATACTGCTTTGCCAGGCTGGATATCGAATATCTCTGTTATTTTCATAAATCCAATTCTCCCATCGTTGAACATGGTAACAGCTATATCCACTTTAATTTTAAGTACAATTAGTCCACTAAATGAAGTTTTTGGTACGAGTTTCCGAATACAGTTGTTGAAGCTCTCATTGTTGTTTTGGGTATATCCAGCCAAACATTTTTCCAACAAATCTATGGCTGACAAGTCTTCATAAATTGGTTTAATGGCATCTATCACGACATTTGGAAGTATATTTTTATGTTTATAGCTGCTTTTCTTTCCTTGAACTTATGGTTTTTGGTACGCACACCAATTGTTTTCTTCTTCTGAGTAATGTTAATGTTGTGGATTGTTGTTCGTAGAACTCTTGTGGTAAAATGTTGCCCAGATGGCATTCTTCATTTCTAGAACCGATGCACAACAGTTAGCTTAAATGGCATTTTCATAGTAGACAGTAAGTTAATCAATCACCTTTCCTGTTATTCTACCTTTACCACCATTAGTTTTTCCATCTGATAACTTGTTTTTTCTAGAATTCTTCTTTAAAATTCTGAACTTGTGATGTTCCTATTACTTATAATTTATTTAATAGTTCGTACTCTCATGGTCTTGTCGCGTTAATGAGTAAGAATTCGTTTCTTTCAAATTTACTCTACTTATTAATATAAAACCAATCAACAAATAAAGTATATAAGTATGTAAATAAAATTTCAAGAAAAGTCAGACTTTGCCGTAGTTTCTTACGGGGCGAATTGTCCCATAAGCAGAGCTAGTCTTTCTTATAAAGGATATAATTCAGCCCAAGTTTCTTATAGCGCGAAGTGTTCTATAAGTCGAGCATGAATTATAATAGGATAGGAGAGGATTTGCTCAGTTAATTACAATGAGAAAAAGAACTTAGGTATTAGCCAAGTTTATTCAATCTCATGCGCTCACTTTACAAGGCTTGCAGTGAATGCCAGCAGAGATTAGTAGGGAGATTGCTGACGGCAATGCTTCCGAGCGTGCCCGAATAGAATAGAATAGAAAGATTATTATTGGCTTAACTGTATACATCATATGAGCCACAACACCACCACAGTGGCGCCGGTGAGGACGCGCTGAACTACAAATTCAAATATAAATACAGAGTTTGGCTGCACGCGGGTCGTTCGCGCATGCGTAGATTGCTACGAGGAGTCTCGAGAAAAGGTTTGGTCGCAGTGTGAGCTAGCCAGGCTCACATTCAGGCGGTCGGTAAAGAAGGAAGCGTTTCGTCCCGATGTTACCGGCTGGACTCGTCAGTGAGGCTCGACGGCCGGTAACATCTGCCTCATACGCTCGAAGTGCGCAAGTCGCTATGCGGACTTATATATTTAGGGAGCGTATTTCTTGCCGCTCGTGGCTGGCCGATGCCATCTCGATGTGGATGAGCGAATCATGAGACCGCCACAAGAGTTTCATAACACAAACATATTTTCGCCAATATTAATATTAATAAATCGCTTTTCGATATAAAATTAGATAACGCATATTAAAATACAGAAATACTTCAGTAATAATTAGTACAACATTAATGGTAAAAAATAAATACATAAATAACTTAATTATCTAGAGACACGGGATTAAATATTAATTTTTATTTCTAATATGAAATTTGATAGGCTATTTATGACATGTATATTCATATCGGTGAGAAAAGGTACAATTGTCTTTGGTTCTGTATTATCGTATTTTCTTAATTAGTTGAGCATTTTCTTTCTTTCATTGACATACAATTCACATCGCCAAAAGACGTGGTCAACGTCTTCTTTCTCTTTATTACAACGGCATAAGTCAGAATCTACAATCTTAAATTTAAAAAGATATGCGTTTAAAGACATGTGGCCACTTCTAATTCTATTGAGAGTAGTTATTGATTTTCTAGTCCAATCAACAGAGAAATTTTCAGACAAAAATTCCGGGATGGGTTTTCTCGACGAAAATCGCTTCAGTACAATGTAAATAGGAACTCTTGATAAAATGCAACTCCTAATTTATTGTCAGATTTTTTTTATGAGCGCTCAAAGTTGGCGAAATATGGTTTTTTCAATCTGCAAGCCACGGTATGCGTTTTAGCTGAAAAAGTTTCGTATAAAAGTTGTAGGTAATAGCAAAAGCTACAATTTGAGCTGTCGAGCAATTTTTTTCGTTTGTTAGTTATTGAAAAAAGCCCCAAAAACCCTTAAAAATGGCCATTTTTACTATATCGAATATTTATTGCAAAAAGAACTTTTTTTAATGTTTATGACTCTTGAAAGAAAGCTCTTGTGATTCTAAAAAAAATGAATCGTCGCACGACTATTTATTTTTATTAGTTACTGATATATTCTAATTAGTTAATTAAGAGACGTCCAAAGTACGGGGCTGTAAAATTTTTTTGGCCGATGATATCGAGTTGTAAAACAACTCAATCTCTTTGTCAAAACGTCAATTTTAATGAATGATTGGGAACGAATCAAAAAATTAATTTGCAACCCCTAAATTTTGACTTTAAAAAAGTGCGCCTTTTTTCTTTTATAAACAATTAGAATTGCGGCTTCTCTATGCATTATAGAGATTTCTTTTTTAGAAATTCACATATCTGAGATCAAGGTGCATATTTTGAAAAAAAAAAAATTGTTTTTTGACCAATAGGAGCCGAGATAATTTTTTGTTTTGTTTAAATCACCATTATTGTAATAATGAAAATTAACAAATCGGTCCAAGGGCATTCGATCGTCATTAAGTTATATTTTCTCATTACGATACAAGGCTTTACATATATTGGCTTTTTAACAATTAAAATGACGTTTCATTTCCAGCACGAGAAAAGCCAAAGGCCGGAGGCGGTGGTGGGGGGCCTCCCTCGCGCGCTTGGAAATACTGAAAGTCCGCGTTCAAATCGACGCGCTTCGTAAAAATCAGGCTTATCTCGCGAACTATTGCATCAAATTCGATCATTTTTTTTAAATTTGGGGTAGCTTCAAAATTTATTGAGATTGGTGTAGTTGTAATTACTATATTTAGTGCCAATCGTTTATTATTAACTTAATTGAATTTATACATATCAGTGTATGTATAAGTTCCAATTAATTATTACTTGCTATCCGTAAATATGGATAAGGATAAATAATAATCAATAATCAATATATAATTTAAGTAGTCTTGTAGAAGTAATGAAGAATGAAGAATGCAATGAAAACGAAATAAATGAGTCTGCGCCGAAAAGAACTAGGCACGATTAGAAAATAAGAAATCATGTAAACTATACCCTACGTATGCATATAAATTAAAATATTGTTATTAATAATTGAAAATATATTGATTATTATTTATCCTTATCCATATTTACGGATAGCAAGTAATAATTAATTGGAACTTATACATACACTGATATGTATAAATTCAATTAAGTTAATAATAAACGATTGGCACTAAATATAGTAATTACAACTACACCAATCTCAATAAATTTTGAAGCTACCCCAAATTTAAAAAAAATGATCGAATTTGATGCAATAGTTCGCGAGATAAGCTTGATTTTTGCGAAGCGCGTCGATTTGAACGCGGACTTTCAGTATTTCCAAGCGCGCGAGGGAGGCCCTCCACCACCACCTCCGGCCATTGGCTTTTCTCGTGCTGGAAATGAAACGTCATTTTAATTGTTAAAAAGCCAATATATGTAAAGCCTTGTATCGTAATGAGAAAATATAACTTAATGACGATCGAATGCCCTTGGACCGATTTGTTAATTTTCATTATTACAATAATGGTGATTTAAACAAAACAAAAAATTATCTCGGCTCCTATTGGTCGAAAAACAATTTTTTTTTTTTCAAAATATGCACCTTGATCTCAGATATGTGAATTTCTAAAAAAGAAATCTCT